CACGAAGTTCACAATTGCCGTTTGAGTTTATGTTATTATTCTAAAATGAATCGCATAGGTACCTAGGTACGCGATGATGCCGTCGCGCATTGCGTCACTCGAGTGCGTATGTGTGTGCGCACTAGCTTCTTACTGCTCATCACAGCGTCTATCCCTTTCGCACGAGATGTCGGCTGAGATAGCATGCATTTTTTGCCCCGCCCACCACTTAGTTCGTGCCATCGACTAGGGCAACCTTAACGCGCAAACTTGTGTCTTCTGGGGGTTAAACTGGACTAGATTTAGTCGCCCCCAATCTGAGACTCTGTTCAGCAAAGACTCGACTTCAGACACAAGTTGAGTTTGAGTTGCCATGAGTTCCTGTTTCACATTTTAGTTTTAATTGCTTATTTGTCATGTGCGAGACAAGCTGTTTTTATGATAATTTTCATTCTCATACAAACTACGACGACCGGTATTAGTTTTTGTAGGGAACCAGTCAGGTGGCCTTCCAGTGGCATCAATCCATTCCTTTTTTAATTTAGCATCATTTGGCAAGCCGAAAGATACGATTAATAACACTAGATGACACTAGATGGTGCTAGTGCCGGATACATGACGTCGACTTATTCGCGCAACACTATTTATTATTTTCATATATTCTAAGCTACTTTGTAACCTCACCAGCAGGTTTTGCTTGGCGAGCTTTTGTTATAAAAACTGGTTAGTGATAATATTGTTAAATATATGAAAACAAATACACACTCATGTCTAACAAATAAATAGCAAGAATAATTATACTGACTAATTTTAGACCAAAGTCACTATATAACCATGCCGGTTGGGTATTTATGATACATTCGAAGCTTTTAAAACTGTAAATTATATTAAACCAAGGAAACCATAAAAATTATGAAAAATTTTTGAAGATAAGGCATAATATACGATAATTCAAACCTAAGAACACTCCGTCGATTATTAACCTAAAATTTAATCAACTTAATTTACGACCTTTGGTTACGCATTCAGCGTAGTAGTTGCTGTAAAATAATCAAAATAAGTTAAAAAAAAAACATTATGTCACGTCGGTCTTCCTATCGGGTTGAAACGGTTTACAAATTGGAGAATAAACTTTAATAGCAATTCGCCAATCCTCGTTATTGTCGATAGTGGATCTGCACACGCACATTACTAGCTCGTCACAAGATACAGCGGCCGTACTACGCAATATATCCGCATAAATAAAGTATTGTTTTGTATATTTATATGTAAATGTATATTTGCATTGCTTGTTGAGTCACTTGGCATGCTTAGGTAGTTAGTGGTTATGACGCAATGTATTTACTGCAAAAATATTACAGTGGCTGTGATACCTAATTGGAAACCCCGTCAGGGTAAATGTATTCTGTGTTGGGAACAAAAATAACGTAGTAAGAGAAAGAAATATTTTATGATTTTAAAGATAAATATAATGAAATACTTGTACTTAGGTATTGTATGTGATTTCACGATTAACAAAGTCTTTGTTTTGGCTTCGGTTTTTACAAGAAACCACTGAACAACATGGCATTCTGATAATATTTCACGATGACGGTCGCAAGCGCACTAATTCGCAGAGACCATTTGTATAGAAGTTAGAAGCTGAGAATTTTGATCATAGCGCGCGGACACAGACACGCCCCCTTGCCACTTTTCTTTCTATGGACTACACCGATCATATTAACTCCTACAAGTGCTTTTTGAAAAAAAAAACGGGTTTTGGAGATATTTTATAAAATAGAAAATAACCTAAAAACTATTACGTCACTTTTTCGATGCTACCAACGATCTATTTTAAATAGACACTTTATAAATGGACAATCATTATCGCTCTAAAAACAGCGTAGTCCATTAATATTAGTAAGAATTACTAGTCATAGCAACACATAGCCGTGCCATTGGATGCATGACTGAAACTCGGATATTTGCCCGATCTTTATACATATTGCCAATACTGTAAGTGGGAAACGTATCTTAAGGTAATATGTATATAATTGAACGCCACCGCGATCACACTACCATACCAATATCAATAATACATTGTCATAAAAGTGACCACTCAGACCGAAAAAAACGCTCGCTATCTATGATAAGATACTATTCATGACGGACTCTATTTCTTAAGCTCATGTTGTTGTGAATCGATTAGGTAAGTGATAGAAAAAATAAAACAAACAAGTTCATTTGGGGTTTTAATAGCGATTTAAAGTCAAAAATATTTATTTATTATCATACTCCTGAAAAAATTAGGTAAGTATGTCATTATACTGTCCCCAGCTCAAATACCACACTATCGTCATTATATGAACACAGCAGCCTACTGTTCGCTTACCGACAAGGCAGCTGCAATAACCTACTATGTTTTCTAAAGTGTTGGCCACAACATCATTTTTGAAACATTATTGATTAGCAGATAATCAATAAATATGTGTGATAATATGACTGTTGACATGTCTAGATTTAATCCTACTTCTTAATAGGTAATTATTAAGCCCCAAAATCAAAGGTACATTATCATCGATAGTATTATTCACCTCAACTGAATAAATACCAGTCCGACAGATGTGTTCCCCGTAATTAGATCTAGCCTGTTTGAGTTGGTAGGTCCCTAGAGCTAACCGTTTTAAATCAGTTATTGTCAATTGTGGAAATCCATCTAAATGTGGACTATCACTGTCAATCAACTGAAAATTCACACTCCTTCTATTGAGATTTGCCTGTTCAACATATTGCCAAATTGTTCTCTAGTGAAAGCCTATCTTTAGCAATTCTTCGGATCCTTGTATAGTCCGAGACAACCCACAATATGACCATCACAACACATTATCATAAATGGTTTGATCAAATTATCCAGTTTTTGCAAACTGTATGTTTGTTTTTGAAATAAGTAATTAGAACTGCTTTGGATAAATATATAAGTAGCATCACATATGACTATTGCTTTAAATCAAGATTACCAAATAATCCTTCTGGTATTATTCTATTTCTAGATGCAACATATTCAACAGTCATATGATTAAATCCTAAATACAGTGGAGCAAACTCATTAATTAAACATGTTCTGGCCTTATTCATTAAGCGTTCTAAGTGTGACACGAGATTTAAAAGAGAGTTGCCAACCTTTCATTACTATCACAAGTTCTAAGCTTTACTAAGTAAATCCTTAAAGCAATTGTGGCATTTGGTACTTGTCCTGCTAGACTTGGGATACAGTTTAACAAATCATAAAACTGATCCGAGTTCATGCCTAACCAAAAGTGACACAAATATGTAGGCATAGTTAAAATATTTGAGAAATCTATATGGTAATAGGCAGCTCGCTGCATTATTCTCATAATGGAGTCGAATTGACTACCGGTAAAATATTTTAGCTGGGAAGTTAATTCACTCCAACAGCCATGATCCAGGTGGTGATGACAGATTCGTGCTGCTGGTGGCACATAGAATTTATTATTATGTAATAACAGATCCTTTATAGATGAGGGTACTAGTAAACATTCTGTTTCAAAACCATTAACAAATATACAGTGATTGGATGTGCTAGCAGCATGCTTATACACAGAAGACCTAATTGTTGGATTTGATCTAACATGAGTAGTGTGTAGGGAAGTTTAATACCCTCTTAAAAGGAAAAGTTGCGGAGCCCCCCCCCCTTTTCGAGTTTTTTCATTTTTAATTCTGAGAAAATTTTCCTCATTTTATGGATTAATATTAAGTGTAAAAAACCAGGAGGACACCTTGGGGGAGGAGGGGTTCCCCCCCCTACGGAAGGGGGGAACCCCTTTCATCAGAAAAAAATAGGGGGACTGATTGAGAGGGATTTCTGTGTCTATTTTGATTGCATTCTTGCAATGTCTACGGCGCTGCAGGAAGAGCAGCCTCTTTTTTTCAGCCTTTGCGTAACAAATCGCAGGCATCGGACGAGCCGGAGCGGCTGAGGCTGGTCGCCGAAGGCGACCAACAAGCCGCAGCTGCGGAGGCGAGGATTGTTACAGCAGGCGGAGGCTGCTCTCCCTACGCGCCTCCGGCTCTATAATAACAGGTAGGACAGACTCGTACCAAGTGGAGTCGGGGTCAACCAATTCGGTTCTTCGACATAAGTTAAACCTTATATTTTATTTACTTACTTTTAAAATAAAAGAAATCGAATAAAATTCATAATGTATTAATCAATTTTATATACATATTGTATTGCTTTAATTAATTCTTTGAAAACATCTTTATGTGCTATTTTTATTTTTCTTCGCCAAGAATATTCAATTAGCCAGTCTGTAAAGTTTGCTTTATAACTTTCTCTACCGAACATCACTTTTTAAATTTCGCCAGTGGCTTTCTATTCGTTGCGTGTCTCATCTGGTGCCACACATTTATTTATAGGGTCGCTATGATTAACTTTCTTATGTATATATCCATATTGAGGTAGGCAATCGTAGGCTCTCCAAAATTCGGTATGGATTTCAGTGCCTACATCCATATGCTTTTGTATTAGTGGCACCAACATTTCCGCAGATATATCATTATCGGGACACACTTCTAATCTCAAATCATCTTTCCCATTTTCTATCATGCCCAGCACCCAATGGCCTTCAATGTGTCTCCCTCTGTTGTACTTTCGTTTTCCAAATTTTGATTCGTCTATTTGCACGATTTTGCCTGGACCACCAATCTTGCCGTTAACTTCTTGGTACTCCAATTCATAAACAATTACTGTCTCTCGGCAGTAAGAAAACCAGTCAGTTATTGTCCTTGTTGATAAAATTGTTTCTTTTTCTTCACGGGCTGTTTCTAATTTAACTTGATGATAACTATATTTTTGGCTGAACATATACATCAGTAAAAATTGTAACTCGATGGACAGCCGCGCATTCTCGAACCATGTTCCCGCTGCCCGACTCACTGCCTTAGAGCGACAGTTACTCTTCCTGCATCGAAATATGCCAAGCTTACCAGTCTTACTGCTGGAGCTTAACGCCATAGGTCTCCTACGATATGAGCACATTTTTTTCTGTAGGAAGGAGCCTATGCTCTTCAGAAAATGCAATGCACTGAGCTGGGGTGTTGAGCCGGGTTATGATTTTATACATATTCCAGTGGCACCTAAAACAAATAAAAATATTCCTATTAGAAATCTAATAACTGCTTTACTCGTCAGCTTTTTCTGTGAAATTTACATATGTGCTATATAAGAAACCACGGGTAAGGTTTACAATTCGGTCGCCTGAATTAGGGGGGGGAGGGTGGTGTGGCGAGAGGGGGAAGAGTTGTAGAGTCACCCCAGTCGACGTAGCCCCGCTTCGCGGGGCTCCTGCTACTGAGTGGTTTGCAAAAAAATAACCCCGTCATCCCCTTCGTGGTTATTTTTTTTCGTGGTCATCTCCTTCTAACCTAAACTGTCCAAGTCGGGGTGCCCCACGTCCTTGGCTCGCTTCGCTCGCTATTGCACCCAATATAACACCAAAATATTAACTTTTATAACTACTTTAATTTATAAACATAATTTATGGCTGCCACTATTTGTAAGAAAAGATCTTTGCGATATTTAGCAGTATTCCGCCGCCACAAATATTCCACTATTCACCAAAATTATGAAACTCTGAAACAACGGCATGATGAAAAGCTGTCAACAAAATGGCCGGCCTAGCGATTAATTTTACACATTTTTAAATCGATCCGAATCGAAATTGGATGAATCGATTCACAAAAAATCGATTTCGCAAAAATCGATCTTTTTTTGATTTGCGTTAAAAGTTTATATTTACAATATCAAAAGATACAACAAAGTACAGATAACATTGAATGGTTGAATTAGAAACTGTCATTCTTTACGAGTTAGGGTACATTCAACTAATTTTAAATAATTTTACAAATCTTAATAAAACAGAAAAAGATTCGATCTCGATCCTCTAGGGTGAAATATCGATTCACTAGATCGTTTCAGTACTATATATCGATATTACATTGACAGATGAAACGCCAAAAACGTAATTAATTAGTAATTTACCAATATTGTTAAAAAATATAAAAAAATACTTCGACGCTGCTTCGGCAGCAAAAATCGAGTGGGGGTGCTTCAGATAAACACCCTTGACCCCCCCACAGTGACAATCTTCAAATTGAGGCAACCGAATTGTAAACTCAACCCGAAACCACAGTGAACCAACCTTATTTCCTCGGCATAGTAGTGGACTCTTCGGCCAGACGAACCAGGAGCTCGAGGTTCCGCATCAGCCACGCTGCTCTCAGATGACGTTGGAGACGCAGGCGGCAGTACCAACACGGTACTGGGAACAGTGGCGCGGGAACTACCAGCTATTGGTTTCGATAGCACAGTCATGGGTAAAAGTGGCTCACTAGAGTCCAACACCTGCACACATGGGGGGCCTGCAGAAGAGCTCGCGACAAGTGGCTCATCAGAGTCCGACACTTTCACTACACTCAATTCTACAGACGGCACTACACCACACGGGGGGCCTAAAGAGGAGCTCACAACAAGTGGCTCATTAGAGTCTAACACTTGCACTACACTGAATTCTTCAGACGGCACAGCAGAACACGAAACTTGGGGCTTCGGAGACGCCATGGTGGTAGTCAAACGTTGTTTTCAACGACGGGAGTACGTAAATGATCTCAACTGCTAGGGACACAAACAATGACTGAGGATGACACTGACAACACAAAATAGCGTCAGTTTTACGTTTCGTTCCACAAGCCGGGAAAAGACCGTAAACACTGCACATTTTAATTTTAATAGCTCGTAATGAAAATAATTCTGTTATTTAAATATAAACGGTTAAATATGCATGTATGAAAACTATTAAAATGGATACAAAATATAATTATTTACATAAATTTATATAAAATGAAATATTACCCAACATATGACAAGTTAACCGTACTAACGGAACATTCAATGGCGTGATATATCTGTAATACGATATAATCTATGGTAGGAATTGACATAAATATTGCGTAAAATTATTGATTTTCGATAATTTTTTCTCAAAAACTACGCGTTTCCGTATGTTGACTTTGCGTGTATGCTTATATTAATGTCACCCTTCTGTAAAAAAAATATCAACCCCCAACTCGACGGACGTCAATGGAAAGCTTAGCCAAAACATATACTTCTATGACCAAAAGCAGGCAATCCTTCACTAATTGTGTTTGCTTGATCTTGAAGCAATGTCAAACACTATACAAAGCACACATTCTGAAGACAACTGCAATAAAAACCATGAATTTAAAGTGTGTTTTTAACCTTTTTGACATTATCTGTCTTCTGTAACATATTCTCAGAAGTTACATCTATATGCAATCAAGATTAAAGCCTTTTTTGACCTCAAACAGCCTAAAGCCCTTTTTGTTACTCATTTGTTATTGCGTGGGGTTGGTTTAGAATCGTCTGGCAGGAATTTGGGGGAATAAGGTGTTTTATTTGGTAGAAGTTTGGTCCCCAATTATAATAATACCACTCACATTAAAAGGTAATGCACAGTTATCGAAAAAATAAATAAAAACTATTATAACCTAAAATGCGTAAAGTATAGAAAATTATATTTTTTTTATTATTTAACTGACTATGGCTCTGGGTTCTAGCCCTTCTGCAACCTTCGCAACCTCTCTTCCCTTCCCTTCGGCAACCTGAATTTATATGAATCTGAGAATCTGTACTAAAATTAAATCAGCATGCCCCGAATCCACGTAGTCTTGTCTGCCCTACTCCTAAAGTGTTTTTATATAGCCTTAGGCGAGGAGAGCGAGCAGCCCGTCGTAGCAAATCGCAGGCACCTGTGCGAGCCGTAATGTGCTTATTATTATAATATATATATTATGTTTATAATTTAAAGTAATTATAAAAGCTAATATACTGGTGTTTTGTTGAGTGCAAGAGCGAGCAAAGCGAGCTCGGGACTTAGGGCAACCCGAATTGGACAGGTTAGGTTAGAAGGGGATGGTGGGGTCAACCCCGCCATTCCCTTCGTGGTTACTTTTTTGTAAACCACTTTCTGAGTGATTTACAAAAAGTAGAAGCCCCGCGAAGCTAGGCTCCGTCGACCAGGCTTCCCTCGACTGCACTACGTGGTGCTTACATCCCCCAACTCACTTCCCCCATAAATTAGGTTTATAGTAAAACACAATACAAAAACATAATCTCAAAATTAGATTTTTAAAAATTTAGAAAAAATACTAAGCATGTGCGGCAGAATATGGAAGTTGGAGGCGACTCTACAACTCCCCCGCCTTCCTCTCCACGGCATCCCACCCCATTAATTCATTTTAAGTTATCATTTTGAGGTTAGTTTTATAGGATTTTCTTTCTAATTTTTCTCAAGAACGATGCATTACCTTTTAAAGTGAGTGGTATTATCATAATCGGGGATAAAACCTCTACCAATTAAAACACCTTACTCCCACAAATTGGTATAGTCTAAAATAAATATTTCTTTCATTCTATAAAAATGTTTTGCAAGACGGTACAATGTTAGAGTTCTGACATTGTTAGGTATTTATTCAAAGAGTAAAATAAGATCTGCTTACATAAATAGGAGTTAAACACGACTGTAACAAGTCAATCATTGAAGTAGATGCTTGTTCCAATGAATGTGTAGGTGTAGGTAGGTTTCTGAGTATCAAAAATGAACAATTGATACATCGTTTGTTATGCCAGGTGACTGACGGTGTCAGTCGGTCGACTACACGACTCGACATATTTGCACAATTAAATACACAGAAAAAAAGTCCACAAAATACTAGCAAGTTCTACTTCTCAACACACAATTCAATAACTAGCTAATCTCAACTCTCAAAAACACAGACAGTTGTATTTGATAAAACAAAGGAGTACCAACTCCCATAGTAGAACAGTTGAAAAAGTGGCCATCTATAAGCAGTAAATAACAGCTCAAAAAATCTCCACAACAGCGCTGGAGTAGCTACTGGGATGAAATGAACTTAGCAGTTGTCGACGGTTTGAAGTGTGCTGCTAAACTGCTCAGTAGCTCTAAAATCTAAAATAATTTTATTTAATAAATATAACTTTTAAAAAGTCGTCTATCCCACTAATATTTTTCGGCACGTTCTTTAAAATTTACCCCGTAGCTATAGTGGCGCCACCCTTATTTAATGGTTTTCTATGGACACTTTTTAATAAACAGTCTGTACTGTGGGATGAAATTAACTTAGCAGTTGTCGACGGTTTAAGTCTGGTGTTAACTGCTCAGTAGCTCTAAAATCTAAAATATAAGGATTAACGCAGGATGGATGAAATGGCGACAGGTCACAGCCACAACGTGCGATCCCCGAATGCAAATAAGGCTGAAGGGGAAAATTTACAAATCGACCATCCGACCTGTCGTCATGTATGGAAGTGAATGCTGGGCCGTCAAGAAGAAGGATGAAAATAGATTGCATGCGAATGAAATGAGAATGTTACGATGGATGTGTGGTGTGACAAGGATGGATAAGATAAGGAATGAGTATATAAGAGGAAGCCTGAAAGTAGCGCCAGTGGTAGAAAAGGTGAGAGGAAGCAGATTGGCATGGTTTGGGCATGTGATGCGGAGGGATGAAAGTCATGTCACAAAACGAGTGTTGAATATGAATGTGGAGGGACACACGGGCAGAGGAAGGCCGAATAAAAGATGGATCGATTGTGTGAAGAGTGATATGAGAATGAAAGGAGTAAGTATGGAAATGACGGCTGATAGAGAGGAATGGAACAAGAAGATTTACTGCGCCGACCCCAGATAATGGGAAATGGTTTAAAGAATGATGAAATATAACCTCGAAAAAGTCGTCTATCCCACTAATATTATTCGGTGCGTTCTTTAAAATTTACCCCGTAGTTATATTGGCGCCACCCTTATTTAATAGTTTTAATGGACACTTTTTAATACACAGTATGTACTCCTTACTTCTACACTACATAACGTAGTGTGTCAGCACAAATATCAGATGTACTATAAACGTCATTTATAGGATTTTTTATTTAACTGGTTTTACGGTTCTGGGTTCTGGCTATTCTGAGCCTATCATTTTTTTCGGAATCTTCACGTTTATATATTTTTTCCTCACATATAGCGATGCGTCAAGTTTTTGGGATATATTGATGACATCTGAACCCAGCGGACAGTTGATGACGACAGTCACTCAAGTTCATAAAGCAACTCGATTCTTCGTTCATAAAATAACTCGAGGTTTACAACATCAAAGCACTTTTTTCTTCATTATCTCTAATAGTTCACACGCGCAGACACTTAACTCACAAAATCGCATCACTTTTACGAACCAAAATCCTATTCAAACCATTATTGAAACGACAAAATAGGAGCGACAATCCGTCGATGGCCAAGTTCCCGCCAAAAAAACCGTATGGATATTGTTTTAAATGGAGCGTGGAGCGGTATTGAGCTGTTGTAAAAAAATCTCCTAAGAACTTCGCAATGTGAAGCATCAGCATATTGTGAAGAAAAATATATAAAAATGAAGATTCCGAAAGATATTATATGCTCAGAAGGGCTCGAACCCAGAGCCGTAAAACCAGTTAAATAAAAAATACAATATCAATACTTTTAAACTCAAAAAAAAATTTTCCCTGTTCAAAAATCAAATTCCTGGACGCGTAATGCTGTAAAAAATTATGACACTAATTATATTAAAATTTAGTCTTGATGCGCGAGACTTTTTGGTACCACTTTTGGTCATTATCCTTTAAACCAACTTACTATGGAGTGTAGAAGTAAGGAGTACAGACTGTGTATAAAAAAATTTCCATAGAAAACCGTTAAATAAAGGTGGCGCTACTATAGCTCCGGGCTAAATTTTAAAGAACGTGCCAAAAATATTTGTAGGATAGACGACTTCTTCGAGGTTATATTTACTAAATAAAATTATTTTAGATTTTAGAGCTACTGAGCAGTTTAGCAGCACACTTCAAACCGTCGACAACTGCTATGTTCATTTTATCCCAGTAGCTACTCCAGCGCTGTTGTGAAGAGTTTTTGAACTGTTATTTACTGCTTACAGATGGCCACTTTTTCAACTATTCTACTATGGGAGTTGGTAATCCTTACTTCTACACTCCATACAATTTACTTTTATGCAGTTTCTGCTGTAAGTCTGTGACTAGGATCTCATACAGTCAGTCGTGGCATCGCGTGCAGTTGAGATTGATATTCCAGGAAGAATTCAATTATACAGCACAGATAAAACGTAATACAAATTAATTGATAGAATCGGCGTTACTTTGAAAAGTCGCACTCTTCAAACTAGGGAAGACACATCATTTTATATAATTTAGCGGATGGTTGCAAGGTAACTATTAATATCTTTATTGTAATATAAATTTAAAAGGAAAGAAGAAAAAGAGAAGAAACATACTTCGTTTTTTGACTTCGTAAATTTATCCTATTTAATTTAAACAAATTTCATGTGTTACATATTTTAAATAGGCATATAATGTGATAAAACTAATCATGAAACTTAACTAGACGTTTTTAAAATAGGCAATGTCTCATTTTGAGAATTAGCGATTGGTATTTGACAAGTGAAACCCCTAACTTTTAGTGATAGGTATTACAA